TCCTCTTTGCCTGCTGCCTCGTAGTTGATAGGCCCAGGACTGCCTGTTTATCCCACTGTCCTTGCCCTCAAGCAGTGTAGGGTCCAGTTGGAGAGACAGTGTACACACACAGCAGTCCTATCCCAGCTCAGCACGGAGCAGAGAGTGTGTTCTGTGCTGTGTGTGAGGTCCGGCAGCCCCGAGGCTCCTGTGGTCAGGGAGGCTGCTGACAAGGCCTGGTGAGTCCTGGTGTGCAGAGAGAAGGGAGGCTGGGCTCGGGAACAGGGGCAGGAAGCTGGGGCAGAGTAGTGGGAGAAAAGCTGGGAATGGGGGTTGAGCCCAACTGTGGAGGGTCCTAATATCAGGACAAGAAGTTTGCCTTTATCTTGTTTTTAGAGGCCAGTGAAGGGTTTCTGAGCTGGGAAGTGACTCATGAGGGGTTATTTAGAGGAATGTGACAGTGTGTACAAGGCGGGTGGAAAGGCAGAGGGTCTGGGAGCAGGTAGTCTTCTGGGGAAGCTGTTTGGTGGTACGGGCCTGGCCTGGGTTAGGGTGTTGGGAGTGGAGAGAGTGACAGGTGATGAAGGAAAAACCTGACCAGACCTAGCAACTGGCCAGGCATGGATGAGGGAGAAGGAAGGGTCTGCGAGGAGACTTCAAACTGGGTTCCCCTGCCTCTGCCACTTACTGGCTGTGTGACCTCGGACAAATCCCCTGACCTCTCTGGCCCTCTTTTCTCATTTGTAAACTGAAGGAGTTAGAACAGAGACAGTCAGTGAAGGGACATTTATCAGGTATCTGCTGTGTGCCAGGGGCTGTGTTATATGCTCTTTGAGGTTCCTTTCAGCGCTTGGATTGTGCCATCAGCAGAAATAAGGAACTAGACAGGGAAAAATAACACTCATTATGACAGTTCATAATTTACAAAAAGACCTCAAGCCCAAGCTTTGGGAACTTGGGTTCACATCCTGATTCTGCCACTGTGTGGCCTTGAACAAGTCACTAACCTCACTGAAAAGGCTCCTTAACTGTAACCTGGAGATGATGACGATAACTTTACCTCCTGGGGTGTTATCAGGACTAAAGAGGAGAATATACGCTACGTGCTCAGCATACAGTAGCACTCAGTGACCTGTTCTCTTTCCCTTCTTTCTCTCAGTAGTTCTATGAGCTGGCAGTAACAGTGCACCCTTCTTAAGTATTTACTTTGTGTCACTTCACACGTATTAACTCATTTAATCCTCGCAACATCTTTATGAGGTGAGTACTCTTCTTATCCCCATTTCAGTGATCGAGGAAACAGGCACAGAGAGGTTAAATGATTTGCCTTGTCACACATCTAGCAAATGGCATCATCAGGAGAAACCCAGCTAGTAAAAGGTGGAGCTAGGACTCGTGTCCCATTCTACCTATTATTCACATTTTACAGATGAGAAAACTGAGGCTCAGAAAAGTTCATTTGACTGCAACCTCGCACACAGTCGGTGGCAAAACCAGGTTTCAGAGTCTGTCCATTGGCCTCAAACCCCCTGCCTTGACCGTGCTGCCATTGCTAAGGAAGAGATGCTTAGATGCTAAGTTCCATTTTAAACATGCTACCGTCGAAGTGGTGGTGAAACAGCCTAGCAAAAGTCTCTGGTAGCTAGGAACGTGAGACACGATCTGCTTCACTGATGCATGCCAAGTGCCTAGAATAGTGCCTGGCACACGCTAGGCTCTCAGTAAGTAATCGTCGGGGGCAAGTGGCCAAACTGGAGATGTTATCTGGGACTCAATCCAGTGGAAATGATGTCTGGGAACATAGCCGAGGGCTGGGGATCCCAGGCAGCCCTGTGTGACTCTCAGAATTCTGTCTGGGGAGAAGCCACTGTTCTGGGGAACGCTGGTCTTCCGTGGCCTGGGGTACCAGGAGGCTCTGTGGGTAGAATTGTGGGTTTTGCATATGGCAGATCTAAGTTCAGCTTCCTGCTCTGCCAGCCTACCCACCTTGTGACTTCGGACAAGTTACTTTCTTTTTCCTCTTTCTCAGATTTTTACTGAAGTAAAGTGCACACTTACTGCTGTAAGTGTACAACTCGTAAGTGTTCTGTTTGTTGAGGGTTCATGGTTGGAACACACACGTAATTAGCACCCAGATCGAGAAACAGTGGTGTCCCAGGAGCCCCCCTTGTTCCCCTTTCCGGTCTCTGTCAGCCCCCGCCCCCAAGGATAACCATGATCCTGACTTTTAACACCATAGATTACTTTTATCTATTTGTGAACATTTTGTGCTCTTACGTCTATGGGTATTTTTCACTTTACACAACCTTTGTGAGATTCATTCATATTGCCGTGTGTAATTAACGATCATCCATTCTCATTGCTGTATAGAATGTCATTGTATGAATATACTGCAATTTTTTTTTTTTTATTCTACTATTGATGGGCGTTTGGGTAGTTCCAGATTTTGGCTATTTTGAGAATTGTTGCTAGAACAGTCTTGTACTTGTCTTTGGTGCACGTCAGTTCATGCGCATTTCTGCTGGGAAAATACCTACGAGTGGGATTGCTGGGATGCATATGCTGAGCTTTGGTAGTTAGTGCAAAACAGTTGTCCAGAGTGGTCATATGGGATTTCTAGCTGCTTTACATTTTTGCCAACACTCGAGAGATGTGTGTGTGTGTGTGTGTGTGTGTGTGTGTGTGTGTGTGGTTTTCTGTTTCTTTTTTTCAATTTTAGCCATTCTGGTGCATATGTGCTGGTAATATATTGTGGTTTTAATTTGCATTTCCCCGATGACTTAACAAGTATGAGCACTTTTTCATGTGTCTGTTAGCCATTTGACCACCTTCTTTTATGAAATGCCTGTTTGAATCTTTTGTCCATGTTCGAATTCAGTTGTCTGACTTTTTCTTACTGACTCATAGGAATTCATTACATGTTCTGGATACACATCCTTTGTCCTTTGTCAGATAAACATATTGCAGATACAGCTCTGAAAGTCATCTTTTCATTCTCTTGATGATCTCTTTAGATGAACAGAAGTTCTTAATTTTGATAAAATGCTGTTTATCATATGCCTCTTTTATGAGTAGTCCCTTTGTGTCTTGTTTAAGAAATCTTTGTCTACTCCAGAGTCATGAGGTTGCTCTATTTTTCTTTTTCTTTTTTTTTAATCCAGAACGTTTGTATTGCGAGCTGCAGTCCATCTGGAATTGAATTTGTATTTAGTGGGAGGCAGGGGTGCAGATATGTTTTTCCCCCCATTTGTGTATCCAGTGGACCCCGCACTGTTTACTGGGAGATCATCTTCCTTCCTTTTTTTTTAAGTTTATTTATTTATTTATTTATTTATTTATGGCTGTGTTGGGTCTTTGTTGCTGCGCGCGGGCTTTCCTCTAGTTGTGGCGAGTGAGGGCTACTCTTCATTGTGGTGCGCGGGCTTCTCATTGCGGTGTCTTCTCTTGTTGCGGAGCGCGGGCTCTAGGCGCGCGGGCTTCAGTAGTTGTGGCTCACGGGCTCTAGAGCGCAGGCTCAGTAGTTGTGGTGCACGGGCTTAGTTGCTCCGCGGCATGTGGGATCTTCCCAGACCAGGGCTCAAACCCGTGTCCCCTGCATTGGCAGGCGGATTCTCAACCACTGCGCCACCAGGGAAGCCCCCATCTTCCTTCTTGGCACTGCAATGTTACCTTCGTCGTGAACCACACGATCATGTACACGTTCATATCTGGAGTCTCTGTTCTGTTCCATTGGTCAGCGTTTCTACCCTTGTACCCAAACCAGGATGTCTTAAGTGCTAAGGCTTTATCATAAGTGTTGATGTCCCGTGGTATAAGACCTTTAGCTTTGTTCTTCAAGAGTGCCTTGGCTATACTTGGCCCTTTGATTGCCATGTGAATTTTAGAATGAGTTTGTCAATTTCCACACCAAAAAATCCTGACTGGGATTATGTTGAATCTACAGATTTAGGGAGAATAAATCCTTTTTTAATATTGAGCCTCTGCCAATCCATGAATATCATATATCTCTGTATTTCTTTTTTCTCTTAAAATTTTTATTATGAAAAATTTCTAACATTCAGAAGAATTAGTACAACAAATTCCTATACATTCGCTGTCTAGCTTAGTTATTTGTGTCACACACACACACACACATAATTCTTATTAAACCATTTCATAATAAATTATATACATCATAGACACCTAACCCATAAATACTTCAATGTGTATCTCCAAGATTTGAGGATAGCCTCCTCATAATGACAATTCCATGATCACATCTAGGAAAATTAATAGTTCCCAAATTTCTAATCTGTAGTCATTTGTCCCCCATCACCCTCCAAATCTCTTTTGTTGCTGTGTTCTGTTTTTGGAAACAGGATCCAGTCTAGGATCAAGCATTGTATTGGTTTCTATCTCTTAAATCTCTTTTAATTTAGAACCGTCTGCCTTCTCCTTTTGTAAGTGACATTGACTTTAAAAATAATTTTTTTTAATTCAACTATAGTTGATGTACTATAGTTGATAGTACTAACTATCAACTAACTATAGTACTAACTATAGTTGATCAACTATAGTTGATGTATTGACCCTGACTTTTGTTAGAGAGCAGGCCAGTGGTCTTGTAGATGTCCCACATTCCGGATCTGATTGTTTCTTCATAGCTTTACTCTCACTGTGTCCTCTGTCCCTCTGTCTCCTGAACCTCCTGGAAACCAGAACTTAGATCTAGGCTTGTTTAGATGCAGATAAACCTCACGAAGGCTTCCCTGGTCTCCCTTTCTGATAGCCCTCCTTAGAGTGGCACCTGAGCAGGTGTGTGAAGCTTTAGCGCGGCGCTCGGCGCATAGTTTCGGTAGGTGGCAGCAGCTCTTGAGATATGTCCCCCACTTAGGCAGGGATTTTGCCCCAATGTTTGTTCCCCAGCAACAGCTTCCCTAAAGCTTCTCTTGTCCCGGCCAGGCAGCACTGGCTTCCCCCCGTGCTGCGGCTCCCAGCTCTGGGCTTGGCCATCCCCCATCTGTCTCTCGTCCCCGTCTCAGACAACACAGGCAGTTCCACGTACCGGCCACCCCCTCGGACCCGGGAGGTGATGATCAATGGGCAGGTGGTGAAGCTGAAATACTGCTTTACCTGCAAGATGTTTCGGCCGCCCCGGACCTCACACTGCAGTGTCTGCGACAACTGTGTGGGTAAGTGGGAGCCCTGAGAGGGATGGAGCCTTGCACACAGGGGAGTCGCTCGTGGGGGGCGGGGGGTGTCTGAGGTATCCAGGGCTGGGCAGGAAGTCTGGCTCACCCAGATTTGCTGTGACTGAGGGGGCGCTGTGGAGCGGGGGCTCTGAATGTGACCAGTGGTACCTTGGCTTCAGCGCAGGATTAGTGGATTCCTTCCCCCAGCTTTGAAGTGTGGGGCAGACACAGAGATGCCCTGAACCCTTATTCCAGGCCTTGGCCTGGTCCTCAGTAGGTCCGGGTTCCAAGGAGCCAGAGACTAGAGCAGTGACATTCTAGATATGTGGCCCAGGGCCAGCTATACCGAAAGACTTTGACCTGATTCCCAGAATTTAGAGGGACAAGAATCTGGAAACAGAGGAGTTTAAGCTGGTGAGGTGGAGAGGACATAGCCAGGCTTGGAAGCTAAGCTCCTGACCCACAACTGCAGTGGTTGCTGGGGAGCCAGAGGCT